GACGTACCAGTATTAGAAACTCCTAGTAAGACTTTGAGCTGTCAACAATCACTTGGTAGTAAGAACATTCAGCAGCAGTAGCTCATATTTGAAGGATTACTGCACTAATCCCAAATGAAGTACACGTACGTAGTTAAGACAGGCTGAATACTTTTCTTTAAGCTAAACCACTGTTTCCCTAAGACTGGGTCGCGACCCTCAGGTGGGTCAAAAGAGATTTTTTGGGGGGTCATCTTGCATCATGTTTTCCAGGGGTTTTAATAATGTCTGTTGATTCAGGTCACAAAGGTTTGTGACTTGTAAAATCCCCGGAAAAAAAGTTTGGGAAACACTGAGCTAAACCAACGGCTGAATGTACCTTTGAATGGCATCTCCCCACGGGTCTTCAGGTACATCGTGGTGCTGCGCGCTGTGCGGACCTTGTTGATGTTGTAGCCAATCTTGTTGCAGCGATTCTTCCTGCAGGTGAGACACATTCCCTTGTTGAAGGCCTGGTTGGAGTTGCAGCGGTAGGCCATGCTCTGCTGCTGCGTGTTCAGCAGAGAGTCGATGAAAAGATGGATGGAGCGCTCGTGTGAACATTTAACAAGCTGGTCCATATCTGCAAAAGATGAACAAGAGCAGAGGGGACCATCTTTGTTAGAACTAACTTATGAATCAACTCAGTCAATTAAAGTCAGTAAACGGTTTTTGGTGTTTTGTACTTTGGAAGCCCTTGATTCCTTGCGATGCAATGTCCAGCAGCATGTTCTGGATTCTGCAGCCCGGCTGAAAAGTGCCGCCGTTGGGGTAAATGTCGATGTGGCCCACGGGCCTCTGGATGCCAATACTGCGATCTGGGGACCCTAAGGTGTTGGTGTGCAGGACGTCCACAAACTTGGCGTCGTTACGGGACAGCGTGCTCTGTTCATCTGCATATTCAAAGGTGGGACCAGCTGGATCCAGACCTTTGTTGATGAAAGAAAGGAGAAAATCTGTTTTTTTCCACACCCACACAGGGAAGTAGATGAAGAGCAGAGACCATGACCCAATGTCAGGACGTTTCAGCCCACTTTTCTGCAGCACTGATGAATAATGCACTGAAAACCCTGTTGATGACAGCTAGTTATACTGCACCAGCTACTGCAACGAAATTCTAAAGGAATTTCATGCCTTTATAACTCTACACCACACGTGTCAAACTCAGGCCGCGGGGGCCAAATCTGGCCCACAGTGTTATTATGTGGCCCGCAAGATCATATCAAACGTGTACTAAAGTTGGCCCACCAGTATATAGCCCCTATATACAGTATATGGCCATACTACAAATACCAGTAGTATTTGTAGTATTAGTGGTGTATGGGCTACATTACAGCACATACATTTTGTAGTTAAAAAAATATTCACGTTAAAAAATAACTGTAAAGGCAAAAGTGTGATCAAACTGGTTACTGTTTAATCTCTGGCGGAACCTTCTGGTGAAAAAGGGTAGATATTTGAAGACAGTTTTAGTATTTAAATTAGATTTCAACATACGTTAGTTAGACATTAAAGTTATTCATTGACATTAAGACACTTTACCCAGTGTCATTGATGACTGAGTCAACGCTCTCACCTGTGATCCTGCTGATTTTATGGTTTGTGAGGTTTCCAGCAACCCCGGCCGCATGCGCTCCAAGACTGTATCCCAGCACATGGATCCTCTCCCAGGGTAACTGCAGCTCTTTCTAACGGACAACATATGGATCAGGTGGAAGGAAACGCATGCGTATTTCACATGTCTTTACACGGGTTCAAATAAACTACAGACTCATGGGGAAACGGAATAACTTCAAAGAGCTTTTTACTTGGACATAACAAGAACCAATAAGATAAACACGTCTGTTGACGTTGGACTTGTTTCTGTCAGATCCGTCCTCCACTGCACACTGAGCGTGACTACAAGGTTGCTGTGAGCCACAAACACTCATCTCTTAAACTCATGACATGTTGAACAACAAATCTGCAGCCGCTCCACCGAGTCTGCTCATCATTAAAGAAGAGGAAACGTCACACACACTTTCCAGCTGGTAGCCAGCCGTTAACTAGCTCTTCCGTGTAAACACTCACTTGGATCCAGGTTATAAACTTGGCAACGTCACGGCCCACCAGCTTGGTGTATTCAGCAGAGGTGGTGTAGTGCTGGCTGGCACGGGCGAGCCAGTCCACCACAATCACGTTTCCGTTGGGCACGCGGTCGTAGAGGGCCGTCACCAGTTTGGGCACCCAGCTCTCAAACATCCCTGTAACCTTTATTAAAAAACAAAACAAAACAAAACAGATGCATTCAGCAGCTGTGAACTAGTATGGCTTCTTCCGTGCACTGTGATTGGCCAGCTGACATGACTGATGAATCATACTGTAGGTTTTCAAGGTTTTGTTTTCACCAAGAATAACACATAGAAAGAGAGATTTTTTTCTATTCAAGATCTGAATCAAACAATGTACGGAAATAACTCAAGTTATAAAATCATCCGATTTAAATCGTTGTATCATTTTAACATTCTCTTGGCAAAAACAATGGCGGTTTATCACAAACCTTATTTAAGTCCTCAAAGCAGTTTTATCAGACATAATCAAAAAGTAAATATTCACTGGTTGACACAGTCTAGTAACCTGAGACAGATTCATAACTTGACACACATCAGTGTTTCATGCTCATGACATGACATGTGCTGCAGAATCAACGTACCGTCCAGCCATGGATCACAATGAAGGTCTGCGTTTCTGAGTTGAAGTGACACACTTCGATGCTCTCTGGTTTCCCGGCCACAATGTAGCAGAGGTCATCCTCGGGCTCCTCCACCGAACGCAGGGAGAACTTGGACTGGATGTCAGTGTAGTCTGTGAGCCATTCAGTGGTGGTCGACAAAGGAGTGGTGGAAACGGTGGCAACTGTGGTGTTCACTGCTGACACACAGTCGCGCATCATCAGAATATGGTGGAAATGTAGAGCAGTGATGTAGATGTCAACAACAACAACAACAACACAACAAACACCAACACACTCCACACGACACTTACTCTGATGACAAGTCTATTGTCCCAATTTAACATGTTTACAAAAAATAATAAACCAAACCTGCTGACCACTAATCTGACCATGTGTGGTTCTGTCCACGGAGCGCGACAGTGGCACATAGAGCAGTACAGTGTCGCCCCCTTTTGTTTTTTCAAAAAATCATAATATCTAATAGCTATATAACTGAACGTTATACAAAACACTGATGTTATTGGATAAAAATACTGTTGAAAATACGTTTTTGTTATATAATTATTATTACACTAATTATGCAATAATAATTTCTGTGTACATTTTAAAAAATATAATTTTATTTTATTTATTTTTAATAATGATAATTATACTTAAAAACTGTGAAGCTGTTCTCTTTTCTGCCTCTAATGCTCCGTCTCTGGACAAAAGACCAACAGCTGCAGCTTTTCTTCTTGCACACATGGTGTACATGGATGCAGGGATTCAGAACCCGGGGCTTAATTCCAGGTCACCTCACAATTAGCTCTTTTCTGCATATGCTGAATTCATTAACGCCGATTAAATATTTTTTAAAAATTGCTCTTACCAAACTCGGTTGTGGTGTCAGACAAAGTTGCAAGGACGTTTCCCAAAATTATCCAAACAGTTAAAAAAATTATTTTTTCCTCTCCCATATTACAAACACTTTTATTTTTTGTTTCTCAAAATAAAACGAGTGTCCCGGATGTACGCGTTCTCTGGATGATTGGTTATGTATCCAGTCGTCGGTGTGAAGGTGCAGGAGCAGCGACCGCAGCCTTGAGTGTTCTGGTAGTAAAAGGGTGAAGTTTCTTCTTATGCCCTGTCACAGATGCAGCTCCTGGGCTTCATAATGGGTGGTACATTTGAATAGTCACACCTGATTGGACGGGTTTATGTGGGCGGGGCTTATGCGCTGTCCCAGCATTCAGCTCATTCAAAAACTTTCTCTCTCAGGAAACAGCTCAGCTGAGTCCTGCACCTGGTCCACCAGAGTCTGTCGGTGGTTTCTATCGGTGAAACCGATTTTTTTTAAATGTAAAACGATTTTAAATTCCATTTTCAGCAGATTAGAAAGAGAAACAGATGGACATGGAGACATGGTCTAAATCAAACTGCTGAACATGAAGTTCACTGATGTCAGCAGAAGACATCTCATGTTTCATGTTCTGGTCTGTGATAGGGGTTTGTCATGGGGAGTTTAAAGGCCACATGGATAAAAAAAAAAGATTTTGGGAATTGTTTTTCAGTAAAATGTTGAGTAGTAGACTCTGAAAAAATCTGTAAAAAGATTCTGGCCGTAAAAACTCAAAGAATCTGTGTACAGAGGACCAGTGAACGACTGACCAGATTATTAGATGGTCCTTGAAAATAATTGGCTGTGGCTGGGGTACAAAGGCTAATTGTCTTCTTTCTAGCACATCAAGGGTTTAATCATTTAAGATATTATTTTAAAAGACATTCAACCCCTGTTAATTCTGGTGACAAGACTCATTGTCCACAAGGTCCCCAGACAGAAAATTACAGTAAACGCAGAGTCGCATTTAATTAAAAATAGAACAACGTGGTTCATCTGCCTTCAGAGGCAACTTTCATTTTCTGCATGATTGGACTCTATATTTGCCCCCTCTAAGTAGAGACTGACATGCTGGATGGATGTGTGTTTAGGTGTGTGTGTGTGTCATGATTGTGATGGAGGTGATGCTTACGGTCAGACCAACAGGCCCTACCCAGTGATTAGATGGAGGGCAACGCCTTTCCCTCTGCCTCTGATCTCTATCACCATCCCAGCATTCAGTGTGGTTACAGCCTCTGACCTCAGGCTGAGGAGAAGTGGAGTGGAGTGATAAACGTCAAGGCAGAAATGTTAAGCCATTCTGACATGCCCCGGCGATGTGACCAGAGAGAGGTGATTAAAATAAAAGGTGGACGGAGAAAAGGAGTTGAATTACAGTAAGGTGGATTGGACAGAGTGTGCTTGGTGTTCAAGCCTTAATGTTCTAATGTGAAGATCAGTGATCAGACTCTCTGTGCTCCAATTAGTTTGGTTTAAAACATAAGACTCCCTCAGGAATTCAACCGATTACTGTGAAGAAAACATACTTTTC